GAGTCTCATTCGGTCACCCAGACTGGAGTGCAGTGGCCGCTCCCGGCCACCGCAGCCTCAACCTGCTGGGCTCCGGCGATCCTTCCGCCTCAGCCTTCCGAGTAGCCGGAATTACAGGCATGCGCTACCACGCCCGGTTGATTTTTTTTTATTGTAGAGATGAGGTCTCGCTGCCCAGGTGGGTCTCGAACCCGCGGGCTCAGGCAATCCACTCACCTCAGCCTCCCAAAGGCGCGGGATTACAGGCTGAGCCACCAAACTGGCTAATCTCTATTTCTTTATGTGTAAAAACCCTACTGTTTATGGTAATTGTGACAGTCAAATGACAGTACTAAGTGCTGAGTACAGGGTTTGGCACGTAGTAAAAGCTCAATTTTACTATTGTTACTGTTGTAGATAGATATTTGGGTAGCTTTCAGTTTGTGGGGGAAGTATCTGCCATTATTGCCAAAACAGTGCAGAACCGAGGAGGTCAGGTATAAGTTCAGAAATCAGGCAGGATGGCAGAGATAGGCAGAAAGCAGTTTGCTGGGATTCTTTGCTTTTCCTCCCAGGCAGAGTGAATGACAGACCTGCAGCAGTCGGGGTGGCTCCAGCCACCCAGACAACTTGCAGCTTTCCCACATACAGACGCTGGAGGATGCTGATCTTGTAGTTATTCCCAGGTTTTTTTTTTTTTAGCTAACCCACTCACTCTCCCAGCTCTTATGTTGATATTACAACAGGGTGGGGTAGAGAGGCTGGAAGGAATAGTAAACGATAGTGTTGTTTAGAGCTAATGCTGTGTTCTTCAGCTGGGCCACTTTCTAAGGCAGACCAGGATAAGCATGGACATATCTTCTGAGCAAAAACAAAAAACAAAAAAAAACCGTCACATCAGGGGCCGGGTGAGGTGGCTTAAGCCTGGAATCCCAGCACTTTGGGAGGCCGAGGTGAGAGGATTGCTTGGGCCCACGGATTCAAGATCAGCCTAGGCAACTTGGCGAGACCTCATCTCTACAATAAAAACCAAAAAATTAGCCAGGTGTGGTGGCACGTGCCTGTAACTCCAGCTATTTGGAAGGCTGAGGCAGAAGGATCACCTGAGCCCAGCAGATCAAGGCTATCTATGGTGGCCGTGAGCATGCCACTGCACTCCAGCCTGGGTGACAGAGTGACACTCCAACTCAAAAACAAACAAACAAAAAACCTGACATTGTATGGTCCG